ACTCTTTCCTGACCAGCTGTGTCCCAGATCAGAAATTTATGAAGCTCATTCCCACAAGGCACAGTTTTAGTCATGAAGGATGCTCTGAAAAGAAGGAAGCAGCAGAAATTTGTAACTTGACCAACACTCTGAATATGCAACCTATAGACCTTAGCCAGTTCTGCTGGGTTAGACCGCATATGGGGAAACTCCAAAACCTTGATAAAATGCCTACAGAAGTGAAAGTCTCCCATTTCTCAGATGAAATATATGATACCTATGTATGTATTTTAAAAGAAGGGAAAAGCTTCTGAGGTTCAGAGGGCATTTGTGCATGGGCCCAGGACCACAAATGCTCCTGCCACTCACACATAGCTTCTGCTGCTAGTTAGCTCCATCTTCTTGCTGATATGGACCTGAGAAAAAGGCATCAGCTAGCATCATACCAGGTAACAGATGTGCAACTTTTCAGTTAAACCTAGGAGACTGGATCAGCAGGGAGCAGAAGAGTCACCTGCTGGAATGCATGTGGTGAACAAATGGAAGGAACTTCTTCCCCCTCCCAACTCAGATGAAGAAATCTTCATAGCTTCTTGTATTTTTTTGTAGGAAATGCGATTTGTCTATGTTTTCACAGTGTGATTTTTCTTCTTTTAGGAAAGAGGGTTACAAGTTCATGGGCTTTTTCTACAGTATAGCATTTCAACTGAAAACTGGCTAGGAGAGACGGCCAAACTTCTGGTAGATTTCCCCCCCCCATCCATCTGGATACTGCTGAACAATTCCTGTTGCGGTAACTTTTTTCCTGGTTCATAAAGAGGCATTTGATACAATGCACTGTCAGTACAAAAGCACCAAATGACATCAAATGACATATGACTGATCGAAACATTTCCTGAGAATGATATACCAGAGTTCTCCTTTACAGACACCTGCAAATTGCTCAAATTTAACAATGCTGCATTGCCTATAAAAATATTAAGTTAGGCAAAAAAAAGCAGCGTTTTCTTTGGTTATTTTCAGGGTGTGTCCCTTCAGTTGTCACTCTCCTTCTCAAAGCATTAAGCAACACTTTACAGCTTCAAAAACAGGAACTTTAGAGCCGCAGCACCTACTGTAGATGGCAAGGATTCTATATTTAAAACATTTGATTAATTTGGAAGAAAATAAAAATAAAAACCTTATCTATACAGACAAGTAATATCACCTGCATGCAAGCTAGCCTTCACATTTGAATCCTCAAATAGAAGCATATTTTCCCTCTGTTATCATAATTATGAAAATTAAAGGGATTTTTTCTTTCCATTTGAGCAGAAGACATTTACTTAGCAACAACTACTTGGGAAAAAAGCCTGCTGATGATTTAGAAGTAAAGAACGACTCAAGTTCCCATCAATTCCTTCACTGCAAACAAGTGTCCTTCAGTGAGTAATGTTATTCATTACATGTTTCCTTTCCCTCTGTCCATTTTTCTCTATTCATTACATTCAGGAGTCCAAAATTGCCCTGGAACTTCAACATGCAACTTCCAGCTGAGACTCCTTCATGCATCAAAAGGCAGAGCTTTGGAAGATATCATCTAACCCTCTGAACACCACACAGCAATCAATACCCATCCTTCACAGGCGATTTAAAACAGCTCTAACACGCAAGCCAGATCAGCCCTTCCCACCCAAATAACTCCTTTGTGAACATTACATATTAACTTCCTTTCCCATAAGAGATCAAGAATTTTCAAAATTTTCCAGGTAACGTTGGACTTGGTATATTTGTCCCCAAGATGTTAAAAGAAAACAATTTTGGAATTAAAATCAACTAAAGGATTAATAGGCTTCTGATGGTCTGACATGCAGAAGCTTGGCAGTTTTTAAAGAAGAACAGGTGTGAATTAATTAGACTTAGTTTAAATTGCACTGTCGCTATTTTGAGAAAGACAGGATGCTGTAACATGTCCTAAACCTAGACGAAAGGATGTCCGCATCTGGGAACAGACATTGTCCACGTTCCAGCCCAGCCTGGCAGGACACACAACATAGGTACGTTAAAGGGCTCCCCACAGTTCTCCTGCCATTACTTAGCCATGGGGTGTCCTGGTCATTGTGCAGATCATGGCCTCTTTGGGTTGTGGGGTTTTGGATCTTGAAGCTCCAAGGATCAGATTTGATAGCTCATTGACCAGTGGGAACTAAAGTGATTTTAATCCTAAATTCCTATGACCAAAACACAACGTAAAGTGGGAAGCTCTTGACAAGACAAAAAGAAAAGGACACCAGCCAAGTAAGACATCCAAGAATCTCTTGGTGTAAGATGGGTGAAGAAAAAGAAAACAGAACAGCTGGAAGTCATGGCTATGCCCAACACAGGTCAATACTGCATGCTTCTGGACAGCCCCAGAGAAGAGGTGATTTCAAGAGACACCATTCACAGGAGGAGAACGGCAGAGGTCTGTCAGCCTTATTTATTGCAGCCAGATTATGCTGCAATATGGTTAAGTATTCCCAGAACAGGGAGAGCAGAGCAGACCTGGTTTGAAGCAGCCTCAGACTCTCTAAACAGGTAGCATGAGCTGAAAGCCATTAAAGGGGACTAAAGGGTTCAGTGAGATTGATAAAACTGGAGGAAAAAACCATATACAGTATTCAGAGCCTTGAAAGTAAGGAAAAGAAAGGAGCTCAGCAGAGGGCAGTGAGTTAAAAAAATATATAGAAGAAAAAAGATATTACGCATGGTACTTACCCAATAGTAGGACTAATATTGTGATCAAAGTGGTCCTGGACAAACCGACAAACAATGCTTGATTTCCCAACCCCAGTATCCTGAAAATAAAGGAAACCATGACAGTGAGTTCAGGAGATCCTAGAGATCAATACTTCACCTGAAGAAACAGACAAATATTCATTTGTGAAATTAAATCCTCTCTAGTGGCAAGTGGGGCAGGTTGAACATTTCAAAAAAGCGAGCACATGGATTACCCTTTTCAAATGTCAGCATTGCGAATGGAGCTCCCTGGTCCCCTTCCCAACACTCCCTTCTCTCCAAGCCTTTTATGTTTTGGGGCAGATTTTATATTCCTGTTTCAAGGACTGCGGTACTTCAAGCATAACCATTTACTTGTACAAGAAAATCCTGCGCTTTCAAACACATGGTGCGTTACCCAGCAAAACGAGAGAAACAATTTCATCCAGACCTGTTGCAAGGGCAGCCCAAGCACGCTTCCAAAACAGATTACTAACACCAACCTTTTAGTACACTGACAGCACTAACTTAGTAGAACTAACCTTTCCATGGCAATACAAACAAGCCTACTTGGTGCAAACTTCACAGAGGCTTCAGGTGGTTTTGAAAAGGCAGGAATCCAAAGAGTTGGATCTCCAGAGATGTGCAACTATCCCTGTGCAGGTTGTGTTACTGGACTGCAGTGAAACAGCAGTACTTTAAATGCAACGTAACTTGCACTCTACACTGCAATGTGGCAGGCTGCTTCCATTTGCAGCAACAGTCTTATTTTACACACACACACACACGCAATCTGTAAGGAAAAATAGCAGCAGTACAGTACTAGAATAAAATTCAAAATAAATGCTGGGGCGGGGGGGGGGGGGGAAAGCTTGACATTACTCAGAAATACTATTTTAGGCATTTAAGATATGAACAACTTCCCCAAAAAGCTGCATTTTTCAGTTTGTCTCTGCTACTCCATGAAGCCTTGGATGGTAGGTAGAAGAACACAAATTATACAGACAATTATCAAGAAAGAAGAATAGCAATATCACTATGTCTCCTGTAGAATGGCAAAAAGCCTCCTTAGAGACAAAAAGGAGGCCAGCAAATCGATCCTGACCTTTCCCAGACATTAACAACGACAGCCCAGGGTCCAATCTAACTCATTAAAAAGTCAATGGAAAGTTTTCTATTAATTTCATTGGAAGTGATTGCAGAACTACCAGATTGCACCTGGTAGTTCCATTTGTATCCACATTGTAACACACTCGAATTATTTACATAAACTTCTCGAAAAGTGCCAAGACAAGAGAATACAGTTTGTTGAGAGCACTACAGGCATAACTATGTATTAAAACAAAAAAAACAGCCTTTGCCTCTCCTGTAATCAATTTTGCAATATTTTATCTTCTTTTTGAATATGAAAGAAGAAGAATGCCTGTAGTTAAGATTTCCTTTCACCATGTTTAAATGAAGCTGTATCACCACTGCAAGCGAAGTCTTTATAGACAGCACTTATTAGAAAACCATCATTTAAACTCTCATATTTAATTCAAAGCTGTCCTTTGTCAGCTTAAAAGCCATAATAAATGCTCATGCTACACAGATGGTTGTTTATCTACTGTGTTCAATCAATAGGAAAAAAAGATGAAAGAGAGGAGCAGTGTTTAAAACCAGCCCCGTAGCCTTTGATCAATAGCAGCAACACATCCTGTTGCTATTCCCAAATTTTGCCTTCATTATCGATTCCAGCTGACATCTCTGCATAATTACTAGACCAGGATGGCAGAACACATTAAAAAAAAAAAAAAAAAAAAAAAAAAAGGTCCTCTGTGCTGAAACTGAGGATCTAATTATTATTCTGGATTTTAAACATTGTGGATAAACCAGAACTACCACCCGCTGGGTGCGAGGAATTACATTTCCCTCTTCTGGGGACAGAGTTTCTGCCACCATGTTTGAAACCAGACATTGACTCCTGTAACTGGCTGATGCTTTCGTTTCATGTACTTCCTTCAGCTCCCTTGACGTGTCACTCAGAAGGGCAACTGCAATTACAGCTCCTGAGCAAGAGGAGCCTGGCCCCTGGCAGGGACGTGACATCCACAAGTGTGGATTAAAGCTTAGCTCATTTTCCTGGAAGCTCCTATCTCTTCACCTTGCAGTTCGTGGATCTTACTAACATTTCATGCTCACATTAAATGAACTTTAAAAGTTTTTGTTGCCCTTGTATCTCTCGCCAACAAGCACAGCTAAACTTAAGCCCATGCCAGGCACAGTGATAGCCCTCAAATAGCTCAAAAGCATTCTTACACTTTGCTCCTGGGGTTGCTTGGTCTACCGAGAGGGCTCAATTTACCCCTGGTGTAACTCCAGTGAAATCCATGGACTTGGACCACAAATGAACCCGTCTTTAGGATGGCCACTGTTGCAGCCAGTGGCTAGTGCTTTCCAGGACCCAGGCAATTTATTGCACCAAGAGGTTCAGTTGAAAAAAGCACTCCCAGCTTCTGTTGTGTTGCCTGGAGGGTACAAACAGCTGGCTACCGGAGTATAATTAGAGCACAGAGGGGAAGGAAGTAAAAAAGAAAAAGCTTCCTACTTGAGGCAGTGATTATCATTCCACTGCGGGATTTAAAACTACTTAAGACAGTTTTCAGTCCATGTTACCGTATGCACCCATCAAACAAGACGCTCACCTGCCAAAAAGCAAAGCAAATCATGGCGCATGAAAATTATACAACAACTTGAAAACTTAGTAGAAATCTTTTACTGCTAATCAGACCTTACCTTTTATTGACAATAGGGTACTATCTTTCAGGTCGATCTTGCAGAAGTCAAGGAAAGCACGGTTGCTTCAAAGAAGTAGAAAAGGCATTCACTACTCGGCAACGCATTGAAATGAAACCTCCTTGCTAAGGCTGTACAAAGCTTTCCTGCTACCATCTGCTTTGCCCTTTGCTATATGGTTTTCCTCTACATACACCCATTTTACTAACATCTCATGGGGATGATCATCCTTGTTTCATTCATTGCTCTTCAAAGGATTATAACACACTTGTCAAGCCACATGCCTGGGTAGCATTCAGGCACGCAGATGACTTATTTTTTCAGTCCTCAAAGTTCTGCTTTTTGCCAGCTTTTTACACCCTCTAATCTGTTTTTCGTTTTACTCCATGTTGGTGTACATGAAACACCAAACATACACCAAGGAATAACATTTCGGCTTATGTAAAAGGTCACAGTGGTATTGAGCTGAGTGGATTGGACAAGTTTCAGAAACTGAGAACATGCCCTCAGGAGTTATGTCACATTTTAAGGAACAGACCCTGCAATTCTTCAGAAAAATCCTTATCCATGGGAAATCCAAGGGTTTCAGCACTATACTAATTGACTCATCACGATCAAGAGCGTACCACTCCATGAAAGGAGCGGAAGAAAGGAATAAATATAAATAATTGTTCTCAATCAAGGTGATCATCATGCATTTGATGAGTCACTCATGGGACCAACTGCATATTTTGCTTTTCTCCTTTCTTCTTCATAAACCTCGTGGCACACTTACTTAGAAAATATCAGTTATAAACTGTGTTGTACTAAGATAAGCAAAAGGGGTGGAGTGGGGTGGGGAGGAAGGAAAGGAGTAGAACTGTAACCCACAGTAAGTGAACTGCTATTAGTTCACCAGAAGAAGTAGCTACAACTTCAGAATCTCCCATCGGTCATCCAAAACAGATATGGAAATCTACAGCTGTATCAGATGTTTCTGGTAAATATAAGGAACCAATGCAAGCATGACTAATTCCTGATTTTTACTCTTTAACCCCGAAAAGACATTCCTTATTCCTCTAAAATCCTTTACCCGCAGATTTAGGCACGAGGATTTTAAGAACACCAGAATGGAGAGCAGCATGCCACAAAAAACAGTGCTTCCACCCACACTCCTGCTCGCGGAGAACCACCCCACTTGGCTCTTCTCAGCTTGCTTTACTGTAAAGGAGATGAGACTGTATTTCAAGCCAGCAGAATTACAGGATGCTGGCAACTAATCTGCAGGCAAACAACAACTGAGCTGCTGATTTCTTCTGGCTGATTTGCAGCAGCACAAGGAAGATTAAAAAAAAAAAACCAAAAACAAAACCAACAACAAACAAAAACCAAAAAAGCAGATGCTCAATATGAGCAATATATATTAAAAAAGAAAACCATTTTACCATTACAAATAGGCAGCACATCTACTGTTCCAGATGTGTGCATCCTGGCAGAAAAAACTGATGCAGAAAAATTTAGCTCTTTAATTTAAATCTGGAGGTCTCATTTATACCTTTGCACAACCATAGGGCTCAGTCCTCCAACCACTTTTCCAAACTGAATGGTACTATACTATCCTGTAAACACATCCCTGATTAGGACGTTAGTCTTTTGACTTGATAATACAATAGCTTTTAATAGATTCAGATGGGTCAGCTATTATGCTGAGCAAACTAAACTCTTCATATAAATTCTTTTTATATCTGAAATGGAATAAATGTTGAATTCACAAAAAAATCCACACATATCGTGACTGATGACTAAACAGCAGCCCTATAATTATGCACACTGCTGCAACAGCTATTTTATTCTTGACAACGCAGAATCTTTCCATGCTATGTTAACACAGAGGGCTTTTTAAATATATGTAAAATTATAAACCATGCAAAAATCCTTTTATGACTCTAGGATTTTGGAAATGCAAATAAAACAAGAACATGAGAGGGCATTTCATGCAAGGAAATGGCACACTAAGAATGAACATACTGAAGAAACTGCCTTCTGTCCTCCCACTTGCAAAGTAAGAAAAAAAAAAAAGAACATCTGGCCTGTAACCACCACAGATCTCATGACTAACTTCCCATTTCAGCTTTAAAAGAAGGTTGAGATACCCTGGAGACGGGTGCCATAAAAATCTGCATTGAGGAGTAAAGAAGAACGGATCTCTATAAAATAGGGATCCAACACACGGCTCCTTCAGAAGGATGGAAGTTTTCCCATCAGCTTAGACAAAGCCAAGATTCAATCTACAGTATTTCAATTTGTATAAATTTTTACAAATTAAAAATGTCTGTCCCTCCAAAGCATTTCTCATAATAACCAAAATTCATTGAGCCATGATCTACAGGCAGAGGTCTCATTAAAACTGACTGGGTTTAACATGTGTTTGTCTTGCATATCAAAAGAAGAAAGAGCATACCCTAACAACCTGAAAGGTATTAATACCAAGGCTCCAGAAAAGCAGATAAAGCCAATATTACTTCAAAGAAACACTTGGAAGTGACAACCCTGTATCCTTTCCCACAAGTAAGAAACTGATCCCATGGCTTACATGGCTTCCACCGAACTCGGCAGGACTCCCCTGCACCTCACAGCAGGAAAAAAACAGGAAT